TGTGTGTGTGTGCATGTCTGAGTGTGTGTGTGTGTGTGTCTGTGTGTGAGTGTGTGTGTGTGTGTGTGTGTTTGTGTGTGTGTGTGTGTGTGCATGTCTTTGAGTGTGTGTGTGTGTCTGTCTGTGTTTGAGTGTGTGTTTGTGTGTGTGTGTGTGTGTGTGTGTGTGTGTGTGTGTGTGTGTGTGTGTGTGTGTGTGTGTGTGTGTGTGTGTGTGTGTGTGTGTGTGTGTGTGTGTGGGAGAGTGACAATTCATACTAAGGTTTACTTTCTACAAGAACCACATCAAACCTCTTTCAGTAATTATTTGTAGTTTATATGAGTATGTAATTAAATAAATTGAATACAAAATAAACTACGTATACAAAAATATATTGTACTAATACTGTAGAATAAAAAAATGAGTAAAACATATATTCCATTAATTTCTTAATTTTCAGATGGTAAACACTCAAGCTTTTATTTTGGCGGGTTGTGGCTGCAGTTTTGAGAGTGAAGTTTGGCTCCGTGTTCGTTCACACTCGTGAAGCCCATGATCTCAGGGTCTCAGAGCGGCTCGCATCTCAGGAGACACTGAAACACTGTATTATCAGCTTCTTGTGTGGAGATGCCTTTTCTTCAGATGATGAGGGTTTATTTGTGTTGTGGTTAATTTAGCACTGAGGGTGAGTAAATCATGGGGTAATTTTCATTTTTGGGAGAACTATCCCTTTAAGTCAGCGTTCCTGTTCTCATCCCAGAGACTGCTGTAGGATTGTAAGCCTTTGACTGCATTCCTTGTGTTCAAAAGTGAGCGTTAAATCCAGCACTGATGTTGTTTTTGAGGACGATGGGTTCACACAGCTTATCTGTCTGTCTGATTGGGTTTTTCTACCAACAAACTGATGACTTTGTTCTGAAACACAGTTTGACTGGATTCATGACCTGCAATAACGAAAGGGAATCATGGTCTGTATGAAATCGTGTGGATCCGTGGTCAGACGTGTTGTGTGTAATGAACAATATCTGTCTGTGCTCTCTGATATATCCGCTCGGGCCAGAATGAGTGCAAGATCAGCCATCAGTCGTTCTCTCACCTGTTGAAACGCGTGTGAAGCGCTCCGTCTGATATTAGATTGTGTTGTAGTGAAGGTTATTTAGAGTGTTTGTGTCTAATTAAAATCACAGCAGGTTCAAAGCGTGAAATCTGACAGTCTTTCTTTAGCTGTGAAGAAACCGGATAACACTCAAACATTAGAAAGACTGCTGCACATTAAACGTGTGTCTGTTACTGCTGCTGAGGAGAAACACGTTTAAGAGAATAGTTCAGCCAAAAAAGTGTTTCTTCATCAGGTTTGTAGAAATGTAGCACTGCATCAGTG